AATAGTAACAGTTCTTGACTTCAGTAAGCTACAAACACAAAATATGTATTATTGGAAAGAAGACACTTTGAGCTTTACTGTATAGTAAAAGGTGAAGTTACATCTCAAAACATATAAAAAGTTATACATTATGAAGTTGTGAGAAATAAAAAATGTATTGTGTTCAATATTGGTTTTCCATATACAAACACAGGAAAACATTAATGTAATGTCCTAGAAAAAAATATGCCTTGAAAGCCAAGTGTCTCGTGAGTTTATATTTTAAATTTGATGAAGATAGCATGCAAAATGAGATTCCTGTAAAATGTTTTCATGTCGATGTCCTTCTTCTCCTCACCGTCAGAGGCACATGACCTGCCCAAGCTAAAACAGTAACAGTTGCTGAATAATTAGGTCTGCATTTACAGTTTATGTATGTTTAAAAAGAAGACACTCTGGGCTTTATTATCCATTATATAGAATTTACAATGCTCTAAAAAAAAAAAAAATAGATGCTTAAGTAATGTAAAGAAAAAAAAACACTACACGAAACATTTTATTATTTCATAAACAAATATATATGAAATTTGTCCTGGAGCAGCACAGAAAAGTAAAAGCCACACATCTCCTGAGTATATGTTTTTAATTTGATGCCAACATTATGCAAAATACAATTTCTGGAATTATTTTTTTTCTGAAACAATGTCTTGTGATTTTCTCCTTCACCTTGTTTGTAGAGATGCAGTCTGATGACCACACGTACTAAAGATTTTACATACCCCAAATTTTTTATTGTAAAATAATAAGCAGAAACGTATAGTATGAAAACCAGGGGTGCATAACTTTTTTATAAAATGGGCCAAAAACTAAATATCATTGAGAACCATGGGCTGATATACCAAATTATATTACATTAAAGTTGCCATAAGTAATTCCCTAATGTATTTTATAATGTTTTCAAAATAACTTAAAAACATTACTTTAAATCTCTTTTATATTTTCTATTGTATCTTATTACAATTAAAAAAACATAAGCAATCACATTTAGCACAGTGGTGTTCAATGCTAAATATATTAGTCAAGCAGAATCTGCTTTTGCCTTCATTTACTCACTAATAACTCTGGATTGTCTTCGAGTGATAGTATGTTCATAAAAAAAACAAAATAACATAAAAAACATTTTATACATAAAACATTTAATTTGAATTAGCTTTTAGTAGCTTAGCAATAAAAAAATAAAAAAATAAAAAAAGTTGCATTAAGTTAGAATTTGCAGTTTCTAAACCATCCCCATCATTCTCTCTCTTTTCTCAGATGGGATCGTGGGCCAAATTAAATCTTACCATGGGCCAACTTTGGGCCCTAATTTGGGCACCTCTCCTTTAAACTGTGCTTTATCAAAATAACTAGTTAAATGTAAATACTGTCATAATTATTATGTTAATTAAATTGTCATCATGTTATTGTTAAGTATGAAAATGCAATTATAAATTAGTTTTAAATAATATTATAAAGTTTTAGTACTTTTGAAAAAAAAATAATCATCATAAACCGCACTTTATTTGAAAAAAAAAAAACTTTATATGGAAAATATTGGAAAAAAGGGTTACATTAAAGGAAACCTTTTAATGACCTATTTTAAATGTTTTAATTACCTTTATAATTATTCTTAATTTACTAAAACAGCATTTTATTCCAGTTGACAACATTTTATTTGCCAAATTTAAAGTGCAAGTTTAAATACTTTCTGTTGTTGTTGTTGTTGTTGTTGTTGTTGTTTTACATTGAATGTTAAATTACATTTTTGAATGTGTAACACAAATAAAAAGGCAAATTGCATTAGGCATGGGCCGGTATAAGATTGTGACGGTATGAAAACCTTGGATAAAAATATCACTTTCATTATTTTGCAGTATTGTGATTATTGCTTTAAAATATATTGTTTTTAAATGTCTGGGTAATAAACTAAAACTTTTTTCTCCTTTGAACATGAAATATTTTATTTTAAGAAACATTTAACATGTTTTGGAGCAGTAAACATGTCAGGGTAAATAATGAAAATGAATCATTGACTTCATTGAAATCATTGTTTTCTTGGTTTGTTTAAAAAAACACAGGTTTCTTTACAATTTGAAACGGCATCTTTGAATATCTTTTCTACTAAAGATACTGCTGTTCTAAAAATCAAAAAAATCTTACACATACCTCAGAGACGGTATAGAAAGTGTTGGCGGTTTTAAAACCTTGACTTTTCTAAACTGCGGTATCCCTTGAAAACGGTTGTCGTCCCATGTCTTATCTGTCAACAACATCAAAACAGTATATCTTTTTATTTTTTTATTTCTTGCAGCCTACATTTGTCTTACATTTTTGTAAACAATATTTTTAAATTAAAACTGTTTCATCACCGTAATGGCACAGTAATTTTGCTAACAAGATCAACCCTGAGAATTCAGTGTTTTCCGCTGTGCTCCATCTAGCTGTTTTGAACGCATCTTATGTAAACACTCTGCCTTAAGAAACATGTGCAATTAGGGTCAGGCTCACCCGAAACTAGGCTAATTACACAGGGCTCCCCTTTACATAATACATGCAAACCACTCACTATTCCAGCTGAAAAGTGTAACATTTCACATTAACAGGTGGCGTGAACTGCACACAAGACACAGCACAAGGCCAAAACTAGCATGCTTTCTGTGATAGCACAGATTTTTAATGACATAAACTAACGATGAGATATTTTGACAAGCTTCCTCATCAGTCGCCTATTTTCTTAATGACAGTATTTTGAAAGTCTCTACCTCGCTCATCAAAGCTTTCACATCTCACAAATCAAACCGTTATTTAAAAGTGCGCCACTGTTTTACTTCAGATTATTCCTGACAGGCCGTTTTCAGCCCGTTTAATTGCGCACTCGCACTTTAATTTCCAGACGGCAAGCTTTACATGCATAAATGACCTTCACGATTAGCTGACACTGGAGGAGATTATGCTCATTTTCACTCACCTCTATGCTTCGTGTCTATGAGAAGGGAGCGACTGTGGAAGTCTGTGCTGTAATCCAGTGAGATTTTTCTCCTGTCAAAGGCATGTACAATGATTCATGCTTGCAGCTGTCTTGTACTGTTAATTTCTGGTTCGTTTACGCTTCATTTGAGCCAGTGGCTTTAAAGCTCTCATTAGCAAAAATCACATCAAGGCTTAAGTCCTGCCTCAACCTTTCAGGGCTGTAAAACATGCTATGAGTGTCTTAAACATGCGTTGCGGTTTTTATTAATTCTTTTTTCACTTGTTAATCCTAACGTTTAGCTGCTGCTTTGGTTGAAGGTGTTGATTTTATAGTGTTGTAGTCATGTGACCGTGATGCATGTAATCGTTTTACTTCTGGCGATTGTGGTTAGGCTTCAGAATTCATTAAAGCTGCTCAGTTTTGATTATTATATTGATGTTAAAAAATAATTAAAAACTTGCTTGAACCTTTCTGGGTTGTAAAACATGTCTTGCATTAATTTCTGTTTTATGAGTTCATATTTATCTCTGAACAATTATTGGAAAAAATAATTATATTTTAGCAAATATTGAAGTACTTACATTAAATGTTTAGGCTTGTTCTGTTCTAAAAACGGGGTTTAAAGGATTTAATTTTGACTTATTTGTAATATTTATAAATAAATATTCGAAAGTATCTGAAATTGCTTGTCCTTTTTTTATTATTATGCAGCAAATGTTTAAAAAATAACTTGCATTACCTTTGTGCAATCTTGTGGTCTTTTTTATTCATTTATTTAAATTATGCCAACAGAGAAAAATGCCAAATAATGTGTATTATTCCAAAAATAAGTATTTTTGTTAATCTATTTTATACAGAGACAAAAAAAAAAATGGTTTACGTTATTTTTGCACCATATGATTGACCTGTTGTGCAAATACTCACTTTTTTCTAGTCATTGATTTTAGGAGACTACAAATATCAAATATATTTAGCAATATATTATATGACAATATGTTTACAAAATTTTAAGGTTTTAAAATCCTTCAAATAATTTAATAGTTATCATCAGGACTGATAATGGTTATGAAATATATGTCAGTATAACCCCCCCCCCCCCCCCCCCAAAAAAAAAGAAAAAAAATACTTTTGTAATATATATTTTTTTTCCATATAGTTTTTTTTTTAAATTTATTTATTTTTTTAATTAAGGGTTAGAAAGTTAATAAAAAATAATAATAATAATAATAATTATATTATCATTATTATTATTATTATTATTATTATTATTATTATTATTATTATTATTAGTAGTAGTAGTAGTAGTAGTAGTAGTAGTAGAAGTAGTAGTAGTATTTTACTGTACAGCAGTAACCCTACTCCATTCTCAAATATTTCGTTAGGTAAGAGTTGATGTTAGAGGTGGTGAAGTTAGTCACACAATATGTTTATTTGTTTATATATATATATATATATATATATATATATATATATATATATATATATATATATATATATATATATATATATATTACCTTGATAAACAAAATAAGTAAAAATCATAAACTTACCCAAATATCTATGAGTGTCTTACTACCATTTCATTCATTTTTCACTTTTTCATACTTGAACGTTGACTCTTCTTTTTTTCAGTTTTCACATTTATATGGTGAATCTACTGTAATTTGAACATAATGTAGTAATTTGTGTTTAGAATCTTAAAAGTTGTAATTGTTTTTTTTTTTTTTTTTATATAAAACAAACGTTAGAATAATAAATATAAATAATAAATCAGTTACCAAAAATCACAACAAGCCCCAAGTGTTTATTGGAACTATCTGGGCTAGAAAACAGACAGAATGTCTTTGCTTTTTTATGAATTCTCCTCTTGTTTTCACTTGCTCGTCTTGTTTGTTTGTTTCTTGGAGGGTCTATAAAAGACAGAGCATATAAAGAACAGTCAGTTCTTGTACTTTAGTCCATCCCAGCTCTAACGACCATCCTTTACCTTTTTCTATCTCCCTTCAACAAGGCCAAGTGGAGTCAGTGGCCACGTTCAAGGGTAATGAGTTCTTCAGCTACGACCTGTCCCAAAAGCCCATCCAGAGCAGCACCGATGAAATCACCCTGTCCTTCCGAACGCTGCAGCGAAACGGGCTCTTGCTTCACACTGGCAAGTCTGCTGACTACGTCAACCTGTCTCTGAAAAGCGGAGCTGTGTGTCTGGTCATAAACTTGGGCTCTGGTGCCTTTGAGGCTCTGGTGGAGCCATCCGATGGCAAGTTCAACGACAATGCATGGCACGCCGTCCGTGTGTCCCGCAACCTGCGTCAGGTAACGTTCACCTTTGCACATCATGGCTCCATCAGGGGCTTTTTTTAAAATCTTTTTGAAATCTCTGAAGATTGTACTTTAAGTTGTTTTAATGTGTAGATTAACTCTGATGTTAAAACTGCTTTTAGCAATTTCAGCACTGCTTTACAGTAAATAAATTAAATAATACATAAACAAATAAATATTAATTAATAATAAATAATTAATTGAGTTTACCTGTGGAGATAACATCAATATAAGTAAAGAGAGATTATCAGAACAACTGTTTCAGTGATATATTGGTGTTATCGATAACTTTGGGCAATATTGATAACTGGTAACTCTTTATATTTAAATGCTGATAACTACTCTAGATGACAAAGCGCAGAGTATTAATTGGTGGAAAATATACCCACAATTTATCGGCTGAGATGTTTTTTTTTTTTTTTTTACCTCATTGATAACAATAACATTAAATATAAACTAGCTACTTTTTTTATATGTGGTCGTCACAGGGCAACGATTGGTCTGCTGATATACAGAGATTTACAAGTAATTAAACTAATGACAGTGAATAACTAGTAATAATGAATTGTGTGTTAGTGCAACCGTTGCTACAGCAGTTTTAAGTCATTTCAAAGCTATTATTAGCTATGAAAGAAGTGTTTCTTCTGAAATAACTATTGTTTTACATATGATTTTAGCATGAAATCCTGTGATGCCAAGATAAAAAGTGTGATAAAAGGTGCATTTTTTTTTTTTTTTGCAAACCACAGTTGGTGTTGGTCATTCCAAACAAAAGTGAGCCTCCAAAATTCTTAGTGCCAGAATGAGTCATAAACCCAAGAAGGCTGCTTACATTTGAGCACTTCTGGTTGGATTTTCAATGCTTAATGCTCAAGTAAGATACAGTTTGTCACCCTTGACCACAAATCCAGTCTGATATTGCACAGGTACATTTTTGCCAATATCCAAAAAAAATACATTTTAATTTTCTACCAAAAATCATTACAATATTAACTAAAGATCATGTTTCATGCAGATGTTTTGTAAATTACAAATATATACTGAAACATAAATTTTCGATTAGTTATGTGCATTGCTAAACACTTCATTTTGAAAATTCTAAATATTTTCATTTTTTTTAATCCTTAGATTCCAGATTTTTTTTAATAATAGTATCTCTGCCAAATATTGTCTTATTCTTACAAATACATCTATACATCAACAAAAAGCTTATTTATGCAAGTTTCAGATGGTGTAAATCACATGTAAATAAGGTTTTTTGGTCCAGGGTTGCATGTGTTTAACAGATATTCAAGTTATTTTCAAAATGTGTTAATAAAATACACAATCATAAACAAATGTGTGCAAAAAATTTGACTGTATTCTAAAATTCAAGTTTAGTGAACTCTGACCTTTGAATTTATATTAGATCAAAGCCATGTTACCTATACAAGACCAATTCAGTATATAATTTGCTTTGCTGCTGCATTTAAATAAACACCAGTACACTGCATATTTTTACATTTTACAACCTTGCATTTTGAAAATTGTATTTATTTATTTATTTTTTTCAGTGGATTGACTTGCATGGATTAATTGTTCTTCCAAAGAATAATAGTGTGCTAACAAAATAAACATTGTACAATTTGATTTCACATACACTTTAAAAAACAAACAGTCGCATCATTAAAGTTATATTCAGCTTCGTAATAATGCCTTTTGGCTTCTTGTGTTGCTCCAAACAGCCACACATGAGCCAGCAATGTCCTGGATCCTCCAGTGTACTCAATTTAAGTGCTCTGGAATGAGAACAGCAAATTGTTGCTCACTTTTGTATGGAATTTACCTCAAGACAAAGTGCACAAAGCCCTGATTTAATTGGAATCAGATGGTCTCACAGGTGCTTTAGAGGAGCAGCCAGTTGTTTTGGAGCTTGTCCACCTTTCATTGCAAGGTAATATCTAACCCTGATTGCAAAACAGATTCACGTTTTACACCCATGAGTGCTGAGATGTTCATTTCAGCAATTTGCAGAGTGCAAAATATTTCTGTTGTCGCTCTCTTGGAAGGCTTTCAGGAATCTTCTTTTCTGCAGGATTGAAGTACCATTAAGCCACAGGCTGTTCCAGACATAGACAGCGGTGATAAATACATTCCAGTTGTTAAAAACCAGTACGGATGTGTGCGTGTGTGTGTGTGTGAGTCCCTGTTGAAGAGGAGTGTTTTGATTTGGCGACTCCATTCAAGTCCAGACTGCATCGCTCTGTTTTGCCTGTGATTAAATTCACAACGGTGAAAATGTTCCAATTACGCCAGCGAAAAAAATCTGTTTGCACCCAGCAAGCTTTCCATCTTGTGGAGAAGGGGGAATGTTTGCTGTTAATCATTTAACCTAGGAGGAAAAGACTCCCTCCATCACAGCCTTAAATAAGGCAGCGCTTATAGTCGAGGCTGTTTCGATTGTTTTTAATGTGATTATATGATGGAACACACTGTATAGATACACAGTGTGCCTGCTGGCATCTCCAACCGCTGATTATTTCTGCATTTGACTGGCATAACCTTTAGCTCAAGTGTTGCTTACAGAGCCGAGGGCGCACCTTGCATCAGTTAACGAATGAGCTGTGTTTTTTTTTTTTTCCGCCACGACAAATTATCCAAGTACTGAGCTCTCCGATGCCAAGCAGGCGTAAACGAGCACATAACGGTTGTCGACATTCTTGTTTTTGTCATTCATTTACCTTAAATAACGAGCGAGTCGCTACTGCTGCTGTCATTCTTTACTCTAACGCTGCTGCCTCTGCAAGATCCCTCCTTCAAAACCCTCCCCGAACCATCTTGTTTGACAGATTAGTTGATATCTCTCTGTTTTTTTTTTTTTTTTTTTTTGTTTCACTAACACCGAAGCCTCTAAGTGGATTTGTCATTGTTTATCTTCTGCCTTTACCCCTTCAAATACTAACACGAAAACCTCCATGGAATGTGAGCCATCTGTTTGCCGTTGACAGTGTCCAAAGAAATTAGGTAGACTTTAACAGCTATTTTTTTCACCTCATTCAACGGAGGGCGGAGAAATTAGTAGCATTTCTTGGTATGGATAAATTATGATTTAAAATTGCTAGTAAATCATTTTTTCAATCCTTTTAAAGCATCTGTGGAATTTATGGTATGTAATTTTACTCTCCCTCCCTTGTTTTTTTTCTTTTTTTGAAGCGCGCAGGGGTTGGACTCCCTACGGTAAACAAACTGCATTATATGGTAGATATCACATTCTAATTTGTCTAGTTTGGTTTGGCCCTTTCTTTTTTTATCTCTTTTTTATGCTTTTACTGTGCAGAAACGACTAAAGAAAAGTTAAAAAATGGCATCAACCCCCAGGTGCCATGCAAAAGTTCATTTTTTTGCCATTTGCAATTTATGTACATTGTTTTTTTTTTGTTTGTTTGTTTGTTTAACACCACTCACAATTCCCTTCACCCATATACTTATTAAAATGCTTTTTGTTGTATGAGTTCTACCATTAATAACACATCCTATTTGGCTGAGACTCTCTACGGTGGGCATAAACAATGCTGTGAGCTGCTGTCGGCGCAAGATTTCACTCTGGGTCACATTATGGCAGAATCTGTACTGACAAAAACATATTGTTATGCATAATGTAAATTCTAAAATGTATTGCTCCTAAACCTTATCTTTCAAACTGAATTTGTCAAGGTTTTTTTTCACACATCGAGCAATACATTGCATGCTAATTTAAAACATAAACTGCCCAGTGTCAGTCAAAGTAAAAGGGCACAGGGTGCTCTTTCAAAGCATTTAGTAATTTCTTAGATAAAAGAGACAATCAGAAAGAAACACATGACTGCAGCTCTTGTGCAGTGTTTCTGTCCACCTGCTCCATTTTCCCTCATTCTCCCCCTTTGATGTTGGCTTTTATTAAATGTTGCAGCATTTCATACAGAGATTTCGCTGCCCTGTATGATGTAGCATTTAATGATTCTCTTTTTTTTGCTCAGCAACGACACTTAATATGCAATGTTCTCAAACATTGTATTCATATCCGCCATGTAAATCAGGAACAAGAGGAGAGAAGGGCAATGAAGGCTTTTATTGTACTTTTATATGCAACTGCTTTTACTTAGAGGGATTTTAAAGGGCTAAAATAATATTTGTGCTAGGTGGAATGGCATATAAACAATGTCTATATGATATGCTATGCATATGCGATACAAAATGAGTTAAGAACTAGAATCTACTCTGTGTTTCAGGCAGAAGCAATTCCAGCTTTGTTGATTATAATGGGAGCAATTTAGTTTTGACATGTCATGCACTTTACATACAGTGTTACTGTGTTTTTTTTTTCATGGTTGCCAAGCAACTATTAATATCATCCAATTAATGTAAAATTTTGGTGATTTATGTGCAGTTATCAGCTACTTTTTCCTGTGGATTCAAACTTGACCTAAATGCTCAAAATTAAAACATATTGTTATTTTTGAGTAAAAATAACAGTAAACAAAAATAAGCAATATATGAGGAAAAATACAATGTATAGTGTGATTGAATAGTTTATTAATGTATAAATGTATGCTTAAAATAGCAATTTTTAATTTATAATAATTTTTAGACAACATAAAATCAATGTTTAGGATCTAATAAAAATGACTACAATCACAACAATAAAAACGATTATTCTGCTCGAATTAGAAATATACATCAATTTAATCAGTCACTCAAAACTAATTAATTCACTTAAACCCACAGTAAATCCAGAGAAATGTTTCAAGTGGTCTCTTAATGTTTCCCAAAGATGTTTTGATGTTTATACAACCCTTGCTGTTTTCTACATATAACATGTTCTTGAGAATCTTTTCTAATTTCCAGCTCTCGCACACTTGAGTATAAAAAGCTGACCTTGGCCTGACAAATGGAGGTGTTCTGCTTGAGCACAAACACTCACTGTTTATGTGAATTGGAAGTGGAAAATAACAGAATTGGATAAAAATGATTGCAACTGCCATGCAGCTGTTATTAACACTCTGTCCAGGGAACAGAGCAAAGACTGACCTCCTGTTACCCTTCTCTTCCTGTTGCAGACAAAAGTACAAAAATGCCATTTTCTTCATGCATTTTTGTCATTCATTCCTTTAAGTAGCCAATAACATGTGGCACTTTTTTTATCCAGCATGTGCGACATGTTGTTTTTGCATATTACTGGACTTGTGCTTCAAATACAGTTTTGTTTTTTTGTTGTTTTTTAGATAATATGCAGCTTATTTGTCATTATTCACCTGCATAATTTGCTTCCACTGCATGTGTGGGTAGCTATTTCTGTTGTTGAGTGATGCTGTGCATTGATTTATTGGTTTTTCTTTCTATGGGCTTTATTTTCTTCTCCATGTCTTGCTTCTTCTGCTCTTTCTCTCTTATAAAGGTTCAGACAAATGGCGGGTTTCAATTTCAGGACAATGCAAACCATCCACAATTTCCAGCAAACAAGCTGAATTCTTTCCAGCTCTGCCTACTTGTCCACAGTAATAATCACGTTCACGGAATATTTGACGATATTAGAGATGGAATATAAATCCTCTCTGTCTGTCGGCATGGAAACGTCTCAACCCTGAGCATTTATTGAGACTGTAAGAAAACCACCTGTTTTAGATGTCTGCCAGCTCTTCCATGCATCAGCATATAAATACATTATAAGTGACTTTATGTCCTGAAATCGCAGCCCGAGATGTCTTAACCATCATGCACGGCTTGTTTATTAACAAACTTAAAGCTATCGCTATACCCAAACGTATTTCTTTTCAATACATCTCTCTTACAACAATGTGTACAATCCAGTAGTTGATCAGAACTGACCACGAGCATAGTTAAATGCAACCTCTGTTATACTAACAACCATTTTTGTGTCTGAATCCCCCCCTTTTATACTAATCTCGCACAGTCACCCTTTAACATCACTTGCTAACCCACTCAACATATGAGTTGCGTCCCAAATGACACACTATACACTATGCACTTATACACTCAACCGTGTAGTGTATGAGTTTAGTGTTGTCTCAATTGGATCGTTTTTTTTTTTTTTTCTTTAACTAAATAGAAATTTATTCCATTTCTCAGTCGATGTTTAACATTTTCCAAATTTGTACAATAAATAACCAAACTACCAAATAGTTCCTGTCATGAGCACAACTACATTGACCATCAGGTGGTGGCATAACCACTTATGTATAAATATTTTTGCTTGCACAACCCAAAATAAATAAAGTAATCCAACTGCTCTGCTCCATCCGCTACACGAGCTAACTAGTTTTTCAGTGCATTCCTCTTTTTATGCACTACTTATTGCATTTATCATACTAAAATGGCGTAGAATAGTGCAAAAGTATGAAATTTGGGACGCACAGATAGTGATTCCTCTTAGTTCCTGAAGCCAAACACCTCCCTTCCCCGTTTCTCCTTTCCAACACTGAATAGTGCACAGTCCAGCACACATAACAGCATTCTCTTATTCAGAAAGCAGCAATAGCAGACATAAAAATGGGTTAACGTATGCATACAGAACCAGAGGAGCCCCCCTGTGAACCAGTTTTTTTTAATTAATTTCTTTATTTTTTTAGTTGAGAAAACAAGGATTTCGGCTGTTGCAAAATGAAAAGATGTCCCACGTTCCCTCTTTGTTTCTTCCCCCTCTCTCTTTCTCCTTTCCGTCCGTCTATGGCATTTACGCAAGCAGGTGACCATATCAGTGGACGGGCTCCTCACAACCACGGGCTACACCCAGGAGGACTACACCATGCTGGGATCAGATGATTTCTTCTACGTGGGTGGCAGTCCAAACACAGCCGATCTGCCCGGCTCCCCCGTCAGCAACAACTTCATGGGTTGCCTTAAAGATGTAAGTGCATTTTTAAAGCTGTTTTGAATTTAGATCACAAAGAGGACCTTAATGTTCTTTTTTTTTGTGCCCAAGCGACCTGTCCTCTTTTACCTCTTCCTTATCTGTCCTTTTCTCTATTCGCCACCCTTCCGTGCGTGTCCCATAATTTATGTCATGTCCATACCGTTGAAGTTCCAGCTTTACTATCCTGACAGCCAAATTAAAAATTGATTTCCTCTATGGATCCCCATTCGACTGTCCCGGACTCTCCATCTCTGTCTCGTTGACCCCGGACTCTATTAATCACCAGTCTCTACCTGCTCAACCGTACAGTTAGTATCAGTGGCCCTCTTCAGCAGGAGCTCGAGCACTTTCTTATTGCTCCTCTGATAGAGACACGCACACCTCTACGACTTTGTTATGCTTTCGGGAGTCTGTGCCATGTCTTGTTTTGTCTAGTTGCTCCTTTGTTTTCATTTGGGGTTTTTGTGTGGGTACTTTGATGTTGTTTAATACCTCTATGTAGGTTTAACATTTTGATAATGTTGGGTGGTTTTAATTTACAGTATATGTTGTTTAATGTTTGAGGATCATGCTAACTTAAAAGTACAGAACATATGTACATTTCTTGTTTTTGAAATCATATTTACTGTAGTATTTTAGAACATGGGTAGTAGCATGGTACAGTGAACACATAAAAAGTGATGACACATAGTTTATGATGACTTTAGGTCAGGTATGAACTTTTGGTAACATTTTAGTTTAGGCACAAATTGCCTATTAACATTATTAACCACTATGAACTATTAACTATTAGCTTATTATCTGTCTATTATTAAAATATTGGCGGTTTTGTTCTTGTTTTACATCCCTAATCTAGTCCGATAACTAGAGCCAGACTGAATCTGCAGACATTGTTTGCTATTTCTGCACAGAATATTGTAAAAAAAAAAAAAAATCTGCAGATGTATGCAAAATGATTTTGGGAGTATTGTGACTAAAAACTTAATATGGTGAAATAAAAATGATACAATTGTAACTTTTAATTCATGTTTACAGTGCAAATTCTATTAGATCAATTTACTTGGTAAACAAAACGGGTTTCTCATATAATATATCTACTAAAACGACAGAAATTTTTACTTTATAAACTTTATTTTAAGTAAATCATATGAACAATTTTTACATTAGTCAGTAATATTACATAAATTAATTTAAAACCTGAATGAATATAAATGTACACACAACTGAATAAATCGAGTCAATGATAGGATTTAAATCTGCGGATTTTGCAGTGCAGATTCCATGTGGACCTAGCAATAACTAAACCTTATTTGAGCTTTATTGTGCTAAACATCTTATTTAATTCTTAATTTTATTCGTTAATAGCATTAATCATACCTTAAAATAAAGTTTGACCTGCAACCACGTCAGTGTATTCTAATAGAACTTATTCTAATAGTCTAACCACTAGTCTAATGAGAGTTAGTTAGCTTGGTAACACTTCACAATATGGGTGTAATGCTAGTTATTGAATTAGTTAACATATTTAACAATACATCTGTTAAGCATTACTTAATTGTTGTTAATGTTAACTAAACATATATTAATGTGTTATTTAATGCAATAGTTAACATGAACTAATGGTGGACAACAACTGTTATTCAGCATTGCATAATCTTTGTTAATGTTAACTTATTTTCTACAATTACCAGATAATATGGCATTCTGTGTGCACTTCATTAAGCTCACAAACCATTTAAGTTGCCTCCATTTTCCAGGTGAATGCAATTCTTATATATATATATATATATATATATATATATATATATATATATATATGCATATACCATATCTTTAAATGTATTTGTTTTACTTACGATAATGTATCATTTATATTTTTTTACTTTAGAACTGCAATGCAGTCCAAAATCCGACAGACTGATTAGCTGTAGGCTATAAAACAGTCATCTAAATTGTTGTCATACAGTGTTATGCCTGGATTTCTTAAATAACACAGACTATATTTGAATTATTTGAAAGTAATTTGTGTTTCCTCCTGCAGAAACGAGTCATAAGAAAAAAGCTTAGTGGCTCAATGTGTTACAACTTACTTATATTCTAATACATTTACTAAAACACACTAATTGTAAAGTGTCACCATTACCATGTTCTGTAGTTCCAAATTTACTTAGAGGGATGTCAAAAGTGGATTATCAAAATAAAGTGTAGCTATATATATATATATATATATATATATATATATATTAATATTATTATTATTATTATTATTATTATTAGTAGTAGTAGTAGTAGTAGTAGTAGTAGTATTAATATTTAAAATCACCAGAATTTGATGGATGTAAAGCAGTTAATAATGTGGAGTTTGACATCCTATGGCTGATGTTTTCTAAAGATTTAACACCATTTTCACTGAACCTTTTGTCTGACAAGGGAACAAAAATCATATACAATTTTGTTCCCAGTTTTGGAAAAGTGCCTGTTCCAGAAAGGTTTGTACACTTTCTAAAGAAAATGAGAATGGTTCTTGCCTGTGAATCGCCTTTATGACAATGCTCAGTTGCTGTTTTTTTGGTTTAAACTGTTGTTGGTGTTGTGGGTTGCTTTTCAATATACACTATCTGATTTTTAAACCATTTTTCTCCAGTCCGAACTATGAGCAATAGTCATAGCGACATGGTTACAGAAATATGAGGGAAGGACATTTTTTATAGGCCCAAACATTTAAGAAACACTGAAATTACAAACCTCTATCTTAATCTGATAGCGAAGCAGGAAGACGTACAGTATACGTTGTGCAGTCTGAGATAGTTTGAAATCTCATTGATAGCTTCCCCCTTTTTTTTTCTACACGCTCTGTGGCAATAATTGCATTTTTCATGTTCCTTCACTCAGAGCCTGGCACCTCTTGTTTTGCTCCTACCTCTCTTTTTATTTTTCTGTCATGATGGCTGACGAGAAACATGGCCGTCTTGTGTTATTTTCAGAGACACTCAAGTTCACACCCAGCAACAAAGCGTCAGTCATCATCTTCGGACAGACAGAGAGGCTGGTGTAAAAATGAAAAGCGTGTTTGCTGTGATGGGCTTATCCCCCCCGCCCCCCATCTGGCCATAGAGAGAGCACATGTGACAGAAACAAAAAACCAACCTTAAGGGGACACAGTCAGCATGCAGGAATGTTATTTTAGGAGCAGTTTTGTCATACGGTGGCACGTGTGGGCTAGACATCATATCATACATTGAGATTTTTCAGTTGACGTCACTTAATGAATGCGCTGTTTATGCGCGCGATTCAGAAAAGCACTTAGCCGCGGCATCGTCAGAGCTAATGTTAGCGTAGGATGATTCATCATATTAATGAAACAGAATATCGATTAGCCGAGGGTTGCTGTAGTGCTCTGGATGATGTCTCTCGGTTTATGTGATCCACTCATGCTTTTGAGTATTTAAAGAGACTGCCGTGTTTACTGACTTGAAAACCGTGCCCTCTAGGTACACACATCAGCTGGGGTTTGTTTGTACCAGTGGGCAGCATACTACTCCATTCCCTCCTGTTAGCATTTAAGCTTTTTTTCTCTCTCCCTGTCCCAGGTGGTCTACACCAATAATGAGTTCAGACTAGAGCTCTCCCATCTGGCGGAATTGCGTGACCCTAAGGTTACCCTCCATGGCGATTTGACCTTCCGCTGCGAGGACGTCGCTGCATTGGACCCAGTCAGTTTCGACGCGCCCACTGCTTATGTAACCCTCCCGCGCTGGAATGGCAAGAAAGCTGGCTCTGTGTCCTTCGATTTTCGAACCACCGAGCCCAACGGACTGCTGTTGTTCAGTCACGGGCGGCCGCAGGGTTCAAAAGATCACAGACCAAGGGTGGACTTCTTCGCCATGGAACTGCTGGATGGATTCCTCCACCTGCTCATGGACATGGGCTCCGGGAGCATCAAGATTAAAGTGGGGAACAAGAAGGTCAATGATGGAGAATGGTGCCACGTAGACTTCCAGAGAGAGGGCAGGAAAGGTCAGGATATTGCAAGATCAGCACACACATTATTGCTAAACCTGCTCTCGCTTTGATTCCTACTCTGACGCTTTCCTCTTAATCTCTGCCGTTAAAGCACTGCCTCGTTCTGCCCGCTTAAGGTCCATCTGATATGCATACTTCACAAACTGCTAAATCACTGTACTCTATTTCTTCTACCTCTCATTACCTCTCATTACTGTAAGAGCTCAACTCAAACACACTCTCTGCAGTTTTAAAGAAGCAGGCCCGCCGTGGGATTTAGCAAATCCCAGGGGAAGAGGCTGAAGACCTTTCCACTAGCTGAGCTCAGGGGAAAAAAGGGAAGAACAGAGGATTGTTAATGCTAAATTAATGAAATCTCAATTTTTTTAATAACTTGTGACAGCTATTGTACAGCAGCTATACTGATTCCATGAGTTACTAAAACGATAGTCTTCAGGGATCCCTAGTAGCGGCGTTAATTAAATTAGTTTTAGTTAATTATTAACAAGGCTAGTCAATTTAATATGTTTATTAAGTGCTAGTAGAAGCCCCCACAGGACGTCATGATATAAATATCTGTGTCTGTCTGTCTATCTGTCTGTATGTCTGTCTGTCTGTCTGTCTGACTTAAGTTCTAGTTTACATTCAATTTGTTTTTCTTTTAATCGATCTATAAGTTGACATTCTTTCCATCAGTATGACATTCTGGCTGCGTCCAAAACCGCCTACTACTCATTAGATACTGTATTTGATTTTAAATGTACGACTCGGCCACTAGAAAAGTATGTTCTGTACAGTATGAATGTGAGCAGTATGATTGAAACTCGGATGTACTACATCTGCCGTTGTGTCAAAATCACGTGATCTTTCCACATGAGTTGCATTGCACTTCACTTCCTTTCATGAATTTGCTCGCAGGGTATCATAGGATATCGCAGTCGGATGCACACTTCATAATCTCGCTGGAAGTAGTTGGTCATCCGGGTCCTTCTAGCATACTGTTTTTCGAATTCTACACATTCGGACATACTACTCGGTTTTTAGCGTACTAAATAGTATGGAAGTATGAGATTTCAGACGTAGCCTCTGTTATTCTATGTACAGTTTAGCCTATTGCTCGTATTACTGTCTGTTAGTTCTTTCAAGTCATTCTGTCTATTATTCTATCTCTCTGTTTTATTCTCATTCTATCTCCTGTTCTTTTATCTATTGGTCTGTTGTTCTATCTTTCATTCTACAATTACCGTTCTGTCAATGTGTTCTGTCTATTGTCTTTATTCTATTAATCTATTTTCCTATGTAGTTAGCATGTCATTTTTATCAATCTATTGCTCCTTCTGTCAAACTTTCAGTCTATCCATCATTTCGTCTTGTCATCCTGTCTATTTTATGTCATTTCAGTGCTAATCTATTAGAAATGCATTCCGAGATATTTTTTAACAAAATGATTATTATAGTAAACCCTAAAACTAAATCCTCTGAAAGATGTTCAAAATTTTTCAAATAGGAAAGAATTAAAAATAATGTGTTCTAACTTTCAGCTAAATATAAAACCCTGCATCATAGTTCACAATTTAATTACCTAACATAACATATTACCAATAAAATTTTGACAAAAAATGAGGCTAAATTGTAAACAAACATTGTGCTGTTTAGGCTCACCTCTGCTTCATTCACTTTCTCCAAGGCTCCATCTCCGTCAATGGCCGCAGCCTGCCCTTCTCCACCAACGAAGGGAGTGAGATCCTGGATCTAGATGGTGAAATGTATTTGGGGGGTCTGCCGGAGAACAGTGGGGATCTTTCTCTGCCTCCAGAGGTGTGGACTGCCCGCCTCAGGCTGGGCTTTGTGGGCTGCGTGCGGGACCTCTTTGTCGATGGGCGCAGCAAAGACCTGCGGCGTTTGGCGGAGCTTCAGAGCGCTCCGGGTGTCAGCAGCTTCTGTACCCGTGAAACCCATCGGAGGTGCAGCTCGGAGCCCTGCGTTCATGGAGGCCGATGCCGCGAGGGCTGGAACAGACACGTCTGTGATTGCACTGGAACTGGATATATGGGCCCCAACTGTGAGATGGGTGAGGAAAGTAGGGCTTAAAGCTGTAGGGAGGCAGGATTAAACATTGGATTACGTCTCACGGTTGAGACGCGTTCTTTTAAAGAAGAGCAAAGCTTCAGTGCTTCGCTTGTACAGTTTTATATTGAGATACAGCTAGGCTCCAGCTCGCTTCATCAGATCCCACCTGCATAGACCCTTGTTTGCTTGCAATGTGTGGTTTCTAACTCTCTCCTGCCCTCTGCTGTCTGGCAGTAAGAATAACACTGTGGCCACACAGTGTCCATTGTAGACATGCTGTTGGTGACTCAGCAACAGTGTACTTGGTGATATTTTAATTGCAATGAGTATCAAATTCTATAATTTGTATAACTAATTATAAATGAAACTAGTAAATGTAATTATAATGAAACAGATATAGACCCTTAGGCCAAGATTATAAATTGAATGATATTTTACTTGTAATTATATCTTTTTGGCTGATTAACAAAAGTTTATCATCTTATATCTGTTTTTACTGTTGCTACTACTATTGCCTCATAATAATAATTATATATTATATTCATATATAATTACATCTTAAATAAAATCTATAGAATTAAGCAATAGTAGTAGTACAAAAAAAGATACAAAAACAAAACCTTTGCTCAAGTAACATTATAATCAACAGATATAAGATAATAAACTTTTGTTAAGGATAATGTAATTGTTTTATCATTAAAAACATACTTTTTAACAGTAAAACAATTACAAGTTGTTAGTATTAATATTATTATTATTAATAATAATAATAATATTAGAGTAATAGTATAGAACAGGGGTCACCAATCCTGGTCCTGGAGGGCCGGTGTCCCTGCGGGGTTTACCTCCAACTTGCCTCAACACACCTGCACGGATGTTTCAAGTATACCTAGTAAGACCTTGATTAGCTTGTTCAGGTGTGTTTGATTAGGGTTGGAGCTAAAATTAGCAGGACACCGGCCCTCCATGAACAAGTTTGGTGACCACTGGTATAGAACAACATTTCATAGTTACACAGTAGTTATAATATACTAATTACTACTAAATAATGCTATTAATATTACTGAAAGATAATAACAATTCATGTAAACTGTACATTTTAGAATGTAAAACTATTACTACTACTACTACTACTACTACTACTAGTAATACTACAACTAAAATAATAATAATAATAATAATAATAATAATAATTAATTACATAAAATAATGTAAAATGTAAAAATAAAGTAATTATTAAATGATATACTGTAGCTGTTATTACTGTTACTGTGACCATGTAACTTAAAATGAAATGTCTTAATAGCAGTAGCAATTAGTTACATTTTATTTGGATTCAAATACAATGCAAATCCCTGAGTTTATTAAAGAGTAATTAAAACTGAATAAAAATATTGATAATGTTTACATTTACTTTGCTTTTTAACATTATATAAACATAAAAAAATACTGTTTGAAAAATGCATACAAAAATATATCTTTTAATTTTGCATCCTAGTGTTTGCTGACCTGTAGTGTCTTGTTCTGCCTCTTTCAGAGTCTGCAGTGTTGAGTTACGACGGCAGCATGTTTCTGAAAGTCCTGATGCCTCACGCAGCTCACAGCGAGGCCGAGGACGTGTCTCTGCGCTTCATGTCTCAGAGGGCTTATGGTCTGCTCATGGCCACCACCTCCAAAGAGTCCGCCGATACCCTGCGCCTGGAGCTGGACGGGGGAAGAGTCAAGCTTACCGTCAACCTCGGTAAAACCACCAGACTCGAGGCTCTTCCCAAAACACATTTCACTCTCATTCCTCCATCTTTATCTCTTTCTGCTCTTCTTCTTCTTCTCTCTCTCTCTCTCTCTCTTTCTTTCTCGCTCTGTCTTTCTCTCTCCACCTGTGCAGCCTTCAATGGCTTTCACTTCTGCAGCTTTCAGAGCAGACAGCCAGAGAGACCAGATCATTTAGTGTCAAACACATTGAGTTAAACTAGGGGAGACTGAGGGGAAATTATATTGTTTTACCTTTTGAATTTTTCTATAACTTTATAATGTTTAAATATAATATAATATAATATAATATAATATAATATAATATAATATAATATAATATAATAATATAAATCTCTGTATTTTAAAAGGTCAACTTCAAAGTAAGAATATGATATGAATCCTGCACAGTATTCTTAGTTTTTATTATTATTAAATTGCTTACATAATGAGGCTGAGTAGTTTTGTCTTTAGGAATAATATGCAAGCAATTTAGAAATCTTAAATTGAAAGAAACACTTTTTTAATATAAATTGCTTTAATATTTTGTACTTAAAACAGTGATCAAGTTCAAGTTCTTTTATTTATAAAGCACATTTAGAAACAGTCCCAAGACTGACCAAAGTGCTGTATAAGTCAAAGTAAAATAAATAGGAAGAAGATAAAAACAAAAACAAGCCAAGAGAAGCAACAGAATACATTTAAAAACGAAGCAGTTAAAAGAAATATTAAAATAATAAAAACAAGCCAAGCTAAATAGGTACTTTTAAAAATATTTTAGTGTTTTTAACTACATTTTATTTTGTGAAATATTTATAAATGTAATTAATTTCTAAATGGTGCATCAGTTTACTATAACTAAAACTATTGTAAAACCAGGAAAATAAAATCATTCAGGGGAGCCATATTTCTTAGCCATAAAATTACCTAATTATTTACAGTTAAATTTTTTATTGTAACCAGTTTCATTTTTACATCTGAATCAGTGATGTCCAAAGTAGGACCTGTGGGCCAAAGTTTGCCCATGGTAACCTTTGATTTGGCCTGCCATCCCTCTGAGAAGAGAGGAAAAATGATAGGGATGGTTTCTAGATTGTCATTTCATATTTAATATAACCCTTTGTTTGCTTTAATGTTGAAATATTACTGAAATTAAAGGTTTCAATTTAATGGTGTAAATAATTCAGATTTAGTTTAAATGTACATACTGTGACTTGACAATGCAGAGACTTTGGTGAGCAAAACAAATCAAAGGCAGATTCTGCTTGACTAGTGTATTCAGCACTGAACTCCACTGTGTTAAAAATGTGATTGTTTACAGTATGTCCTTATTGCAATAAGTTACCATTAAAAAGTTATACTGCATTAGTTAATACAATTTAAAGTTTAATGTTTTCTATTTACTTATTAATATTACTTATAAATTAAATATTAGGACATACATTTGGAAATTATCCACTTTAATAAGATAGTTTGGTATATTTACCTTTGGCCCATGGCTCATAATGATATTTGGTTTTTGGCCCTTCATATGAAAATGTTTGGGCATCTCAGATCTAAATCAATTGACTAATGTACAGTATGAATATTTACTATAATTGTTCTACACGGTTCTTTATATACTCTGTTAAAATAATCCTGGTTGCCTTAAGTTTTTAAGCTGAATCAAATTAACTATATGAGTCTATTAAACTTATATTATGTTAAACTGATTTAATGTTCAGGATGTAATTTGAAGTAGATTGTCACATTTTGTCAAACTTAAACAGGGTGAGTAAGAAAAGGTTCACAAAGTGCTTTACAACCAAAGAAAAACAGGTCAAAGAAAATATATCATTAAAAGAATGCTTGATAAAACAAGTTAAAAATTCAAGAACAGAAATACCAAATGTAAAATCAGCTCACCATATTGTTAATTAAAAGATTGACCAAAAAAGATGTCATTAAATATTTTGTAAAAAGTTCAACTGACCCCAGAGTTCTCAGTGCTAGAGGGAGAGAGTCTCAGAGTCTTGGGGCCACAACACAAAATGTGTTCTGGGAATGGCTAAAAGGTCTTTACCAGAAGACTGCAGAGAAGTGACCTTAAGTATATAGGGAGGCCTGACCATGCTGAGCTCTATATGTAATAACCAGAATCTTAAAATTTACTCTAAAATTAATAGGAAGCCAGTGTAGAACCTTAAGCACAGGAGTAATGTGCGACCCTCCTACCAGTGTTGGTTAAAACCCTCTCAGTTGCATTTACAGTGTAAGAAAAATTTGATATCAAGTCAAGTTGAGCTTTATTGTCATTTTGTTCGATGTGTGGACATAAAGTGGAATGAAATGTTGCGCCTTGCAGAACCACAGTGCTACATAAATAAATATAATCATAAATATGAATACAAAACTGGACATAAGAGCTGTTTTAAACCAATACATAACTAATATAGTTGAGTGGTAATCTAATTATACTAACTATGCATATACTACATACTTAAACCATATAAGTCATATATAAGACATATGGATGATGAAAACAAGTAGATTCCAAAATCTATAAAAAAAAAAAGAAGAAAAGTAGCAATGTACAGCCATATTTTTTCCTTTTTTAAGTATGAATAATGATTAAAAAAAGTGTTATTAGCTCTGTGATGTCAGAAATGTATTTTCCCCTGATGTCTCTCAGCACAAAAAGCAAAGGTTAGATTCTGCACAGTCTCTCACTGTCCGCTGAGCTCAGACTGAAGCTCCGGTGGCCGGCCGTGTCTGTTTATAGTGTGGATTACAGACCGTGTCAGTGCACATGAGAGCGGGATCTGAGCTGGTCAGTGTGACGGTGAGACGCTCTCTGGCTGTCTGTGGTCACTCTTCTGTAGCGGTTGACAGCTGAGAGTTCACCACAGACAAGAGCACTTTGCATATTTCTTCTCATTATCGGTCTCCATTTTAATTTGATTCAGGTTTTTTTTTTACCGTATTTGATGATATGCTGCGATGAAAACTTACATTAGCAATAATACAAATGGATAATAAACACACTATAAAAAGGATTTTTTTATGAAAATCATTCTATATAATATAATTGGAGGAAAGAAACAATTTCAGTGGGGGTGTAAAATTATGTTTTATAACTGTAGTTTTATTATAACTTTAAACTTTATTTTAAGTCGTTAAAAGAAGGACAATTTAAAACACCAAGCTGAGTTACCCATTATCAATTGAGTTGTCATTAATATATTTATTAACATATTTATGTGCAGATACTTTGTATTTGTACTCTACAGTTGGAAAAAAAAAAAACTTGGCGCCAGTCTTTAGTGTTATTTCAATGAATACTGTTGTTCATCCAGAATGCAGTAAATTAATCATAATTTACTGCAGAAATGTTTGTAATGTAAATGTTTAAATTTAATGAATATTATTTACCTACAATTGTTTTTTTAAGTAAAAATTATTATTATTATTATTATTAAATGCTTGTGCTTGTTCATCTTGTAAGCGAGCATATCAAAATAAGTTTCAAATAGAAGTACCCAAGTATTTGTATTTGTACCCCAATTATACAATATGCAAATATGCACCTATATTCCTCACCGTCTATTGATTTTAGAGTTGTTCCCAATTAAAAAGCTAAGCTCCCTGCTATCATCACGTAAATATATTTTTCGTATTGCTTCCATATTTTTAATCTGTCTATAAAGGGTGGCAATTCACATTAAAGAGTCAATCCTACTTATGTACAACTCATATCACCGAACCACCAGAGGACAGCTCTTGCTCTTTTTTGTAAATCTGTTCTGCGTTTTTTTTTTTTTTTTGATTCTTTCATTATAGATGCGTGTGTGTTTAAAGTGACACATCTGTTATTTAATGTAATCAAGCTAAAAATCTAAATGAGACATTCAATCGCTGCTCTTTAATCAGAATGTTTAAATTATGTAGTGGAGAAAAGATTATTGAGATTTGATAAGTTGATTCATTTTTTTATAATAGATATTAATTTTAATAGGTTAAACTCTTATTTGTTTGCAGCTTTGTCTATATGCTATCTTAGTAAATAATAATTAATATTTATAAAATACTAAAACATATTACTGACCATTGAAACTGTTTATTTACAATAAAACAGCTCCAGATGAACAGATTTAGTAATTTGGGGATTTTGTAGGGGGTGGGGGATATCCCTTATTTTCACATACCAATGTTGACAGGTATGAGTATTTAAAACTTACATGTGAAAGGACCAAACAGTACAGTATCTAATTATTCTCCATTATGCGCCTTTTTTTAGATATTTTGGTCACACTTTACAATAAGGTTCATTAGTTAATGTTAATTAATGCATTTACCAACATGAACAAACAATGAATAATACATTTACTGTATTTGTTCATGTTAGTTAACGTTAGTTAATGAAAATACAGTAGTTTATTGTTAGTTCATGTTAACTCATCGTGCATTAACTTATGGTAACAAGCATGGACTTGGATGTTAATAATACATTAGTAAATGTTTACATATGATTAATAAATGCTATACATGTGTTGTTCATGATTAGTTCATGTTAGTAAATGCATTAACTAATGAACCTTATTGTAAAGTGTTACCGATATTTTTATTTTTAGGCGAGGCTCTACCGATTCTATTATTCCGTCTAGCATTGTGTTTTTGTAATCCTGAGCTCTTGGCTGATGGTGCAGTCGGCCCTCGCCTACAGTCATACAGACATCACCCACATACAGGCCAGAGGCAAAGCACAGGCTAAATCCAGCATTTCATCTGTATATACGGAGTTCATAAATTGTAAACCATGGCCAGCCGTGCTTTCTCTGCCCCTGCTCATGCGGTGTGTTTGCTCTTGTAGAGGGGCCGATCTGACTCTCATCTTGTCCCCGGATGGTTGACTTTATGCAAAACCTGTTTGTCTGTCTGCAGATTCAACCTTGAAGGATGTGGTTTTGAATTTTCCTTTCCTTTCCTTTAAATCTCACCATCTCACTCTCTCTCCCACCAGATTGTATCGGGATAGACTGTAACCTTAGTAAGTGATTCTTTTATCTGCAATGCTATTTTTGTCTCTTCTCCTTCTCTCCTTCTCTCTCTCTCTCTCTTTCTCACGCTCAGCCTAAATTCATCCAAAGTTTCTTCTCCTCCCCCGTAATCCTGTCTTCCTGCACCGTTAACACAGATTTTCTTTTTGAACATGTTCCCAGTTTGCATCCGTCTCTCTCTCTCTCTTTCAATCTCAATCTCTTTTGTTCCGCAAAATATGCCGATTTGCTGCGGTGTTTGAAATTAAGCATAACCATCCCAACAGTTTCCATTTCAACACCATATGCTCTAGTCTGTTTCATGTCGCTGTGGGACTCCGTTACGTAAGGAAAATGCGATAATAAAGCATATAATAATAAAAGGAGGAATCGTCATTTGCCAAATCAGGCGTGAGGTTGAGCATTGCCTGTATTTGAGCTCTGTTACATCCATGCGTATGTGTTGAAAACAGCGCAGTCCTCACTGTTTGCAGGGCACTGATGCTGGAGGTAAGTGTGTGATTGAGATGTGCGAGATGAAATCGCCACAGGTTGTATTTGTGATTTTGTGTGCGTGAATGCGTGTGTGTTGGTATGTGGGTGTGTGTGTTTGTTTATTCTGCTGTGGGACAGCAAAACCTGAGATTTTTAAATTGGATGATTAAAAAAATGTAAATAATGTAAATACATTTTATTTGTAAGGCACTTTTCCTACATACATGCAACTCAAAGCACTTCACAATAGGGCTGTGCGATATGGACAAAAGAAACCTATCATGATTTACTGAACAATACCGGGATTTCGATTTTAATCACTGTATTGACAAACAGACATTTTACATTATAGGAATATGAAAAATATTTCTCAAGGAAAACAACAACATGTAACATGTCCCTAAAACAAATATAAAGCACAAAATAAACAAAATAAATAAATAAGCAAGCAAGCAAAGAAAGAAAGAAAGAAAGAAAGAAAGAAAGAAAGAAAGAAAGAAAGAAAGAAAGAAAGAAAGAAAGAAAGAAAGAAAGAAAGAAAGAAAGAAAGAAAGAAAGAAAGAAAGAAAGAAAGAAAGAAAGAAAGAAAGAAAGAAAGACAAATTGTCTCTTGAACTATTCCAGGCCCACCTAGTTAAACTTTTCTGGACTGGAGCGTACAAAAAATCGTGCTGTGAGGCGATTTAGAAATCATGTTCAGATTTCGATATGATTTCAATAAACGCACAGCCCTACTTCACAAACATACTTCACACTAATATCAGGTGAATATCAATAACATTTCGTAGTGAAAATGCAAAATTATGTTTTTGTATAAGTGCAAAAATGCAAGTCTTTTTTCTGTAATGGGTATTTGGGTTCAGGAATAGAAACTATTTCCTGGTTTAGTATTAAAACAAATGAGGTCTATGGAAAATCACCACCAATTTTTTACATTTAATGTGACTAAATGTCAATAAAAACAATAAGTTGAATTGTTTAAGCAGTGAAAAAAAGTATTGTAATACAAGTTAAATACACATATTTAATAATCCTTAGTTTTTGGGTGTTAGTTATTCAAATATTAAGGATTATTATAATTTTATTGGTAAAATTACTTGGTGAAGATCAGTACAATATCAGTTGTATTTTGAAACTGTGAAGTTTTGCTATACTACACTTTTCTGTGGAATCAAAATTACATTTAATTTAAAGAGCACATTGACATTTCCTTTTAATTATCAATAACATTTTCTCTACTTAGTCTCAAAAAAGTATTTTATCTAAAAAATATACTTAAGGAATGTTTTAAAAAGTAATATATTTGCATGATCCAAAATTGAATGTTTATATCATTACTCCCTTCTTCAGTGTCACAAGATCCTTTAAAAATCATTCTAATATGCTAATCTGATGCTCAAGATGCATTTCATTGATCTCAGATTTGTAAAAAAAAAAAAAAAGATCAGTCAATTGATTAATTATCAATCAATTCATTGCTGAAGATGAAGTTTTGAAAAGTTGCTTAAACAAATCATTTAATCTGTACTGTCATGTTTTATTTGCTCAACAAATGTATGAATGTCTTTGAACATACAGTATAAACCTTACTAACTCTAGACATTTCAACCTAAATGTATTTATTTATTAATTTGCTTGTTTGTTTATTTATTAGTTTGTTTGTTTATCTTTCTGGTTTACTGTTTTATTTGTTTGTTTATTTATGTGTTTTTTCATTTATGTTTGGAGTTTATTTGTTTATGTTTGGAGTTTATAGGGTGTATAGCTAGTAGACTGTAATAAATGTAATGAGGAAAAGTTTAGGTAACTAATATTTTTATGCTGCTTTAACTTAATCAGGTTTCAACAAAATATTTTAAGTTATACAAAGTTTACAGATTTTTTTAATCAGTGCGATTTGACATAAATTGAGATGACAAGAAAAGTTAATTACATTCAACAAAAAAGATGTAATGAAGCAATATTTTTATAGTGTAGAGGTCACTGCAACATGTTTTTGTTTACGTTTCTATGTAAATCGTCACTGTACACACTCAGAAATAAAGGTACCCGAGCTGTCACAGGGGCGATACCTTTACAAAAGGGACAAATTTGTATCTAAAAGGTTCATATTAACACCTCAAGGGTACAAATTAGTACCTAAAAAGTACAAAATATAACTTTTGAGTTACCGATATGGACCCTTCAAGGTCAAATGGGTACTTTTTGAAAAGATACCACCCCAGTTACAGCTCGGATACTTTTATTTCTAAGAGTGTACTGTTTGTATCTGCTACAACAAAAACAAAAGACAGGGCTACAGTATGTGACTTCCTTTTTCCCCTTTGTTTGAGGATTAAAGCTTTTTCCATTTCCTTAAGAAATTGCAGAGTAGTGAATATACACCATGTACAGTATTTACATGTATACAAAGTAGGCGTCTAATTGTGCAATTTGTCTCTCTAGTACTTCATTAGTCACAATGTTGTAGGTGTTTGCGCTTGAGGAAACAGTTCCCAAAAAAAGGCATGAAATTTTTTTTCTCTTTGTAAATTTTGACATGTTCACCATTCAAATGCGTCATCGCAGATTGTTCATTCATCTGTGGAAATGACTCAACAAATTTGGATTTGTGGAATGTTTTGGTTCTAAATGTTTAAATACTGCCAGTGAAAAATAAAACACAGATGCATCAGACAATGATTCATCATGAGCTGAAAGATTGAATGATTCATTACGCTGGAGCTTTTAAACAGTAAGCAGACCCACAGTCAGTCTGTGCCTGCGGTTTATCAACATTTACACATTTTGAGCTCTTTTGTATTTATTTCTTGGCTTCTTAGATTATTTTATTTCATTCAATTATTCCCTATGGGATAGAATTCACAGATTATGGCAAGTGAAGCTAATAGTTTCCAATAGTTTTTAAAGTGGTTTCATGGTGAATTTCCTGACTTCTAAATGATTCCGATTTTTTTTCTTTTATTTATTGTTTTTTTTTTACCATTTTTTGTTCTTGAAATAAAATAAATTGCAACTAAAATGATACATACAGTAAATACACAAAGCTAAAAAAAATGTAAGGAAAGTGGAAAAATAAATTTTAACTTTTACTAAAAGCTACAATAGTGTCTCAGTGAGATTAAAACTAATCTATGGATTAGTGCTAAACCAACCATTCAAAATAAAAAAAAACATCTCAAGATTTTAGCCAAGTAATGAATAAATAAATAAATAAATAAATAGAACAATTAAATAAGTCAGATTAAAGTCATTATGCAAGACTAAATGAAAAGCAAAAGTGTTGAGAATAAACTCCAAAAATAAAGTTGTTATTTTTAAAGAAAAATAAAAAACAATGTTTTTAAAATGAAAGGTTGAAAAAAACTCATTAAATTAACAGTAGAATTGTTACTTAAAAAAAAAAAAACATCAGACAATTAAAAAAATATATATGTTTAGAATAAACATTCAATTTAAACAAAAATAAAATAGTTAAACTCTGCAATTTTTTTAAGATTAATGTAAATGTTGACATTTATACATTCCTGTTTTCTGCATGTTTCAGCAATTTTTTTATTATTTGTTTTTATTAATGGTTGGCCCTAGTCCTCTTCCATATATAACTAATGCACTGTATACTGTACAGTGTTTTTCAACATGTCTAAAACCTGAAACAATGCCTAAAACATTCATAAAACCATAAAACTAAAATCATTTTTGTAACTTGAAATTAAAATAACATTAAATTAAATATTTAAAATTCTTACACTTTATACAATAAATTAATTTAAAAAAACTACTATAGTATATCTACTGATTTGATATACCATCTCTACTGACATTGATGTAAATATTGCATTTTTACACCTTTGTTACCATGACAGCATTTTGCCTAAAAATATTTAAATGATTGTATATTAAATTAACGTTACTATAAAACCTCAATGTAATTTAATTATAAACCAATTTTCTTTCAGCTAGTGAATAATAAATAGGTCTTGTTTTTGTTGGGTTTAACAGGACAAAATAAAACTAAAATATATTTCTTAAAAATCTATAAAGACACACAAATTTAATAAAAACAGTTATCACAAATTACTAAATATTGTAATATTAAAAAAAAAACTACAAAGAATTATTTCATTAAAATGTAAGCTTTACATTCATACTTTTTTCCCTATTTATTTTGATTACAAGTGCCTCTATTTATGTATTTATTTATTTATTTATTTATTTATTTATTTGTTTGTTTGTTTGTTTGTTTGTTTGTTTGTTTATTTATTTATTTATTTATTTATTTATTTATTTATTTAGTTAGTTAGTTAGTTAGTTAGTTAGTTAGTTAGTTAGTTAGTTAGTTAGTTAGTTAAACTATCAGAATTGAAACAGCTGTTCCTATATTCAAACACTTTTAGCACTGTATTAAGCATCAATTTCTGGAACTTTCTTTTTTCTGCTCAACACAATATCATGAATCCACCACCAGGTGGCAACAAACTCCATGTATTCCAGCACCTGATTTCATTCACTCCTT